GAATTAATAAAATTAATGAGTTATTCATCCATACTATTTTTAAATAAAATTTAGATCGATTCAATATATTTTTGAAAAGATTAAAACTTGCTATTAAAAATTTGAAAATCTTTTATAATTTGGTTGCTTGGAAGCATTAATAATTCTGTTTAAATTATTTTTCCTTATTCTGTAACTTTGTAAGGATGCATTTATAAATTTTAGATAGAGAAACCGTCAATTAAACTTTTAGTTGATTTCATTCCTTAAAAATTTATGTACAATTACAAAAAAGTGGGTAATTCTTGAATATTATTAGGCGGTAAAGAAGCATAATTAAAATATATAATAGATTTGGTAAAGTTTGTAAAATTAGGTTAATTAATGTTATTTAGATAAATTCCTCCTGCTTAATTTGCTCTATTATTTATTATCAAAGTTTGCTTAAGAAAGATTTGATGATTTTCTTATGAAATATAAATTCCTCCACCTTCAGATTTTGCAGTATTATTTAAGATTTTAGCATTTGACAACTAAAATATTGTATTTTCAATAAGAATTGCTGTTCCAGTACCTCCATTATTTTAAAAAAAATTAGAATTTCGAATTTTTACACTAGAGTTAGTTTGTGGAATAGATTAAATAAAAATACATCCATATAACTTAACGAAATTTTTACAGCATAAAACATCCCTAATATTTATCTCTGAATAGTTAATCAAATTTATGTATATGATACCACTTAAAAAATTTGACAAATTATTATTTAGTATAGAAATTTAAGACAATTCAATGCGATTTTTATTTGATTAACCTTGAAAGTATAACATGAAACTTTTTACATTTTATAATTTTATTACTTATTCATAAAAAATAATGAAATCACTTTCTTACTCTTAAACAATATAAGTTACTAAATTATTTTCAAAATTGCATTTCAATTATGATAATTCAACACTAATAAATTAAGACTTTAAATCAATATTAAAAAAATTAAAACTTCCAATTCTCTAAAAAAGAATATTTTAAAAAGAGAAAATAGTTTTAATAGTCTTTTAAATAATATGAAATAAATTTATTTGGAAGAGTAATTAAACTTCATAAATATAAATATTTTTAATCTTTAATTCATAAGAATCTTCTATTTTTAAAATTGAAGATAAAACAATGCCTTCAATTACAAATTAATTAATTAATAATCTGCAACCTTATAAATTTATTATTGAATTATCTTATTGTATATTTTAGGTTAATAAACCGTTTAATGGGCCTAACCTTTTAAGGTATTCAATAAATGAAATTTTATCTTATTTTATTTTTTAATTAATAATTTATATTTAATTATTTTTGTGAAAATTAGTTGAAAAGTGTGCTTTTAAGAATAAATTTAATAGAGAAAAGCAATTATAAATCGTTATATTTTTAATAAGAATTTTATTAATTGTTTATGATGGTGTTATAGCAATAATTGAAGATCCCAAATTATTGAGCACATCAAAAAAATAAATATCAAAAAGTTCAAAATTTAAAAGACTGTATTAAGAAAAGATTGTAATACTGCCATCATTTTCAGTGCTATTTAAATTAATGTTGTAAATATGCATCATTGTCAAATTTTTAAGAATTACAATACCTTCTCCTTATGTTTTTAAGTTCATTACCAAACTTTTATAAGCAAGTAAATTTTTAAAAGAACTATTGATTATCTGACATTTTTATGCAATTATGGATAATGCTCCTCCATTATTTTAAATTCTCAAAAATTTATTAATGATTTGATTTAATTCATGTTGATTTAAATTTTATCCTAACTAAATTAGGAAAACTTTACTCCATATATTTTATTCAATTAAATTGTGATTTTCAACAACTAAATCTGAAATGAATATTTAATTCAAAAAGAAATTAATAAATGCATTAGAAGAGTTTGTTAAAATGTTGTTTTTACAAAAGATATTTTCAATAGTTAAATAACTTTATTGGGAATAAATAAAAATTAAACTTGCAGTATTTTAAGAAGAATCGTCAATATATTGATGCAAAGCATTCTCTTCAAACTTAATGTTTTTTAATTAAATTTTTTAATTTTTCTCAGAAAAAATTGTAATTAATGATAACAGTTATCCTATTTTTATTTTTTATATTGAATTTCCAATAAATTATAAATCATAAATTTGAATAATTTCTTATTCTTCAATCTAATTACCAAAGCTAGAATATATTGAAATAATTGATAAATCCCTGTTAAATTAATCTTATACAGAAATGTTGTGTATTGATAAACGAGTAAATCCTTAAATATTTAATAAGTGAGAATTAAAATAAACTTCATCTAAGCATTTTTGAGATAATTTAATTTTCTATTACTAAAAAACGTTATATTATTCTAAATTTTGTATATCAATTGAATAAATATTTAACAATGTGAAGTAATAGATATTTTTAGAACTATTAATTATAACATTATTTATAGATAGTATATAGCAGTTAATTGAGAAAATATATTATTTAGAATGGATTAATTGACTTTAAAAATTCTCAAAAAGTTTGATATTAGTCATCAAAATATATATTAAGTTAGAGGATTATTATTATTAAGAAAAGAAAATTTAAGAATTAATAAAAGAATTCTATATGATATTCATATCAGAAATTCTAATTTAGCTTTTATTTTAAACGTATGATATCAAAGTGATGAATTATGAATCTTAAAATTCATTTTGATCAATAATAATGTCAATAATATTCACATTATTACTAAATATTAACAATTAGGAAGAGTCAAACTAACTATTTGTGATCACTGATAGTATGATCTGAAAATCTACATAAGGAGTACTCGTTAAAATTTAGGAATTATAAAAATATGAATTTTGAATATGTATTCCTGTAATTTAAGTATGAATGAAGAAATTAGAATTTTAAGTAAAATTTAAAATGGAGGTGGAATAAAATTAACACATAGAAATCTATAAATTCAATATCTCAATTTTGAGATTATTACGAAAATAAAAAATTGTTGTATTATCAAATACACTATTTAGAATAATTAAAGTATCAATTAAAATTGAATCTGTTGAATGAATTTCAAAAATAAAGGAATTTCTTACATACAAATTTTATAATGTTAAATTATTAATTTTAAATGAGCTATAAGGATCTGCTTTTATTGAAATCTAAACTTCTTGATTCTCTAAAGATATAATAGAAGAATTTTAAAGGCTAAAATTAACAGGTTTGTTTTAATTTAAAAAGCAAATTTAAAAGAGTTAATTCACATAAAATGAAACCTCAAAAATAAAGATTGAATCAAAATCATATGTGGTCATATTACTAAAATAAGTTGTAGGATTATTATTTCCTTTAAGCATCAATTCTACATATGTAAGAGAGAATACTCTCATTTTAATAATGTTATAGAGGATTCTTGATATAAATTATTGGTTATAATAACTGCAATTTAATGAATAAGGTAAAATTAGTTAAAAACTTTACAAGCCTATCTAATTTAAATACTGAAAATCAAATCTGTTTTAAAATTATTCATGTTATGTAGTATTGAATAAACTTAATATAATATGACATTAGTTTTCAACCTAATTAAATTAAAAAAATACCTCATATTTCAAATAATTATTACAATTTTCCTCAAAACAATATTTCGCTGTTGAAGATAGCTAATCAATAACAACATTAGGATAAGGAATGGATTTAATACATTTAGTAGTAAAAATTTAAGAATTTTCTTCAATAACAAAGAGTGGATTAATTATCTATAAATTAAAAAAGAAAATACTTATATTTCTTCAATTTTTCTTTATTAACAAACTTAACATAATTATGGACATTGTAAACAATTTTCTTAATCTAATGACTTTAGATTTTCCATATAATAATTTAATTAGCACTTAGAACAAGTAAAGCCATTTTGTGGATTGATCTCTTTTTAACACTAAATACAATTATTGTTGCAAACTTTTTTGCATAAAATTTAATTAACTTCATATCCATCCATACAAGCCATAGGTTATTGAATTAGAGATTTCGATAAAGGTGATTATGTATAAAAATATTTATTTGGCAAAAATTTTATTAAAAAACTCTAAATCAACTGAATCCAAGAATCTTATTATTTTGAATCACCTTCAATACAAAATTTCACATTTTCAACTGAACAAATACTACAATGACCTGTAGTAATAGAGTTGGAATAACCATCCTCACAAATTATACATTTTATTATATTTTAAGGAGTTTTAACACATTATTTGCAATTAGAAATATATTTATTACAATTTTATATTTCTGGTGCAATAGAAAAATCATCAATTAATGATAAAGTGCACACTTATATTCCATTTAAGTTTTTATAAGCTCTTAAACAATTTTTTATGTTTGGTATTTCATAAATACATTTACCTTCTTAAAAATCAAAAATAAAACCATTTTTACATAAAGCACATCCTACTCTATGATATTCGTCTATTTGAAATGTTTCAAATTCTTGATATAGAGTACTTTTGGTTAAATCATTACTTAGATACTCAAAACAATAAATACAATTATCTATTTGACATAATTTACAAACATTTTGAGATGTAATGTATAAAGGAGATAAGCATTTATTATATATTTATAAGCCAGTTTATTATTTGATACAAAATCCCTTCTTTAAAATTGTTGATCTATAACATCTTAGACAAATTACTCTTGTTAATTCATAGCCACATTAAATACAAAACTCTAAATTACATGCTAAACATATTGGAATCACATAATATTGAACAATTTTGCAATTAGGTTCAAAAAATTGATTTGTAAGTAAATAATCTTTATATATTTCTTCTGTTTTAATAATTTAATCATTGTTAAAATAATTTAAAGGTTTTAAATCATTTTCGTAAAGAATATAATATTATCTGTTTGAATTTTTTAGAATTTTTGCTGGACTGCTATCTCTAGCTAAATATAAATTTGTTTCACAATAAGGATCATTTGACCAATTTTATGGTTGTTCTAAACATTCTAAGCAAGTTAAAAGATATTCATTTATAATAGAGGGACTAAAAAATGATTTTAATAGATTACCATCTTTAACAATTTTGATTGTAATTAAAATATCCATAATTACATTATTAATTTTCATGTTAATACAATAATAATTAGTAATCTTCATTATCTTAGCAACCTTAATTATCAATCATATAATAAGGACATATACAAGCTTTATATTTAGTCAAATAAATTCTTTTAGATTCCTTGGAACACGACAAACAATCAGTACGAGTAGGACCTTCACATTCTAAACAACTATAATGACAGATTTAATTGGGATAATATTCTTCATCATAAATACAATTCATAAGTTTCATACTTCTTAAACTTACACTTAAATAATTAGAACTAAGTTGCATAATATTTCCATATTAAAGTTACAATTAAACCATATGGAACTGATTAACTTAAAATATTTATTCAAATTATGTTTTTGATATCCCATCATATAGAATAATGTTAAATTTTATTTGATTTTCTAATAAAACTACAGATAAAAAATGCCATAGATTTATTTTTACCATTTCAAAACTTTTCTAAATGAGGAATGAATTTTTGGTAAAATCCAAATTGAAATATGGAAAACTATAATTATAAGTTGTGATAATAATTTGATTATTAAATTTAGAAATTTTGTAGAATAATTAAAAATTTGCTAAATTTTAATCTTATAATTTAGAATTATCGAAATTACTTGACAGCTTAAATAATTAGTATATAAATTCTTCTTTTTCAGTATAATACTCTGTAATTTTAATCCATGCATGAAATGCAAATGAATCACAATTTATATTTGTAGAAGCAAATAATTTTTGATCTAACCATTTTATATCAACATCAGGTAAATTTTAATTTTTACCTTATATACAAACACAAATACGTTCGTCTGCTAAAAAAACCTTGATGAAATCTAATTCATCATTTTCTGTCAATGATGATTATCCAAATGCTAATATGCTTAATTAACCTGGATAATATGAAAGATTAGAAACATTATCAATTTAAATTTATTAAGTTTATGTTATTTCTAAATCACCTCCAAATATAAGCAAAAGATTTTCATCGTAAAAAGGAAATTTAATATTAAGAGAATTAATCTCAATAATATTTTCATTTTAAAGTATATAAAATTTGAACCTATTTTAATTAGGAGCAAATGAAACCACAAATTAATACCAATAATATTCATATTTAAAAGGATCTATTTTAATTTAAAATTTGTGTTATTATTTCTAATCATCTATAAAATATAAATTTTTTGTGACTGTCAAAGTTTCTTCATTTACACAATCAAAGTATAAAAAATTGATTCTTTATTAATATTATTCAACAGCAGAATTCAAATGGTAGCAGTGACTATCCATAATTCCGAAAGCTCCTATTTATTTTATGGTGCTTAGAGGTATGTATCTACTCCAAAGTCCATAAATACCAACTTGATCAATTTAAAAATTATTTATGTTGACAGTTAATGGAGTTGAAAAATACTGGTATTGCTCATCCATATACCATAAATATTAACTATTAAGTAATCTTAACATCATAAAGAAGGCAAAGCTTAATTTTAAATTCATTAATTTACTATTAAGAAAGAAAAAATGCAATCCTTTGGATAAATCTTAAATTAAAAGTTCGATTTTCTGTCTTTATCTTCGAAAAATAAATTTTAGTTTAACAAAGAAAAAAAATAAAAGCAATATATTAGTTTAAATTTTATTGAGATGATTTATATAAAATTTGTTAATATAATATTTAATTAAAAAGATTTCTAAGTAAATATGTATTTAAAAACAATTGACTTCAAAGTTTATAGCTCATACTTATAGAAAATAGATCTAAATAAAAATTATTTTCAAAATAATTATTTATAAACAGCTTAGATATTTTAAATATTTATGGCATTGATGTCTTATTAGGCAATATCATTCAACCATAAATATACTCAAAAATTTATATGTTGGTAATTCTAGAATTCTAGAAATTCCCAAACAATTATATAAGATTATGAAAAATTCTATATTTTAAAATTAAAATTAACTTTACAATACTTAATTCATAAAAGATAAACTATTTTTCTAGAAAATAAATAAGCAAAATGCACCATTCTCCTTTAAAAATTTAACATAAAATGTCTCATTCAAAGTATCTTTAATATCATATAAAATTGAGATGTCAACAAATTAACTCATTTAGAATGATGAAAATTTGATCCTAAATTTTAAGTTTATGCTTGCTATATAGATTTTTAAAGTGCAAGGTATTATTTTATAAATAATTATAAATTATTTTATAAATAGATTATCATTTCTACAATCATTTTTTATAATTATCTAAGTTTAACTAAATTTTATAAAAATAAATAATTCAGAATATAAATAATAGAATGCTTAAAAAATTTAAAGATTTTTGAATCAAATATAATCAATTTATAAAAATAAGAATAAAAATGCCAAGTCTGTTATTGAGTCAAAGTATACTATCTATTAGTAACAATAAAATTTTTATTTTTAAAAAGAAAATAGAACTTGAAACTTAATAATCATTATTAGGAAAGAGTAATCTAAGCGTTTCTTAACTATTGTTAACTGTTTTTAAAGCCTTAATAGTAGGTTATAATGATAGAAAATTAAATACATAATATAATTATCAATACAACCTATCAATTAATTATCTAAATTGTTAAATCAAATAAGATAATTAGAAAATTACTTAATTTTGTAAATGTCAATCTTAATGTTATATAAAGTATATTTTATGTGGTTTAATTAATTAAAGATGTAGGATTCAAAAAAAAAAGTAAGATGCTTGTTTCGAAAAAATAAAAAACCCAATTCTAATCTTCTAATAATTCAACACAATTGAATTTTTTTACCTAAAAAAGAAGCTAGTACAATTTATCAAAATTCTTTAATTAAAATATACTATTACTTTTTTTATATAATAATCAAAGGTTGAATTTATATACGAATTAATACAGTATATTATATAAACTAAAAAGAGATATAAACTAGTTGGAAGATTGCAAATAAAAATTTTTATGAATAATATATAAAAAGTTATTCTGAAATGTAAATTAATATGAAATAATGAATTAGCATTTTAGAAATTTATTGAAATAACAAATCTTAAATGATTAAACCTTGGTATATAAAATAAAAGTGGAAAATAATTAAGATTATCAACTTTGTATAGTATGGGTAAGAATAGAAAATTTAAAGAAAAATAAATATAATTATCTTTTACAATATACAATGAAGGTTTTATCCTCAAATTTAGATATATTCTAATATATATTTATTACTAATAAACTGATTTGTATGAAGAGGCTATAAAATGAATTTAAAATGAAGACTAATAAAAGCTAACTAGATTTTATTCAATTTAAATTTGTTTTTCTTTTATATATTCAATATCTTCAATTTCGAACTACTTAAAAAACTAAAAAAGAGTCTTAACCTCTAAATCTTAAATTTATTATTTATTGATGAAGGGATAATAGTTTTTCCTTTTCTAATTATATCTGATTTATTAACTCTTATAAATAATGAAAAACTATTTTTTTCTTCATATTGTCATACTTTTTTTTTATTTTAAACTCAAATTTAATTTGGAAAATTCTTTAAATATAATGTTTTGATGAAAAATACAGGATCATTTTAACAGCATAAATATTTAAAAAAATTTTTAATTATTATTTAGTTAATAAGGAATATCTTTCAAGATTACTTCGCATATTAAATAGGCATTTATTTCAAAGTTATAAAAAGCTCTTAGTATCTAATTTTGTTTTATCAGCCTCTTTATTTTCAATAATAAACCTATTAAATTTTTTTGGACTTTCTCAACAATTTCTTATATTAAAAAATAAAATATTTATTATTCTCTTTCAAAGAATATCTTGGATTAATAAAAGGAGAATTAGGAATTTAGCTTCCATCTCTTACAAATTATTTTATTTTGGATTTAGTTTTTTAATAAAAATTTTTAAATTTTTAATTTGATCTTCCAAATATTGATTTTTTAAAGTAATGAATTTCTCTTTTGAAATAATTATAACACTCAATCAAGAAAAACAAATAAATATTTGTATTTATCCTCTTTCACTATTTCTATGAGTTCAAAAATTAAATACAAGTCGTTTTTTTATTTTATTAACTTTTCAAGAGCAAAGATTACATGTATTGTTTTGTTAAGGTATTGTAAAATTATAGTTTGTTTGGAACAACTACTAAAAAGATTTATTTAAATTAAAAAAGGGATTATAATTTTTCAAATTATTTTAGATGAATACAATCATTTGAATTGCATCTATAATTGTAAATTTGTTTTTTTTTGCAAATTTTTTTCACTTTTTAGTTCTTTAATGATTAAATCAAACTAATCTTTCTTTAAATTTTTTTAGTATTTATTTTAATACTCATTAATTATTTATTTTCAAAGATTCATTTTAAGTTTTATATTTCTGTTAAAAATGAAGTCAAAATGTTTTTTCTCTAACTATTATTTATGATCCTCCTCAATCTCATTAGAAAAATATTAGCATAAGCTGTTTGAATTTATTTCTTGGACTAAGCCTCTAAAAATTGAAAATTAATCAAAAATAAGCAGACTCAATCCATTTTCTATATTTGATCTCTTTTAATTATTACTGGGTCTTATTCTATGTATAAAAGGATCAATAATAAAATTCTTGTAGCCTTTCTAAAAATTATTATTATCCTATTCTAAATATCCTTTAATAATTTTCATCATAATTGATAATTATCTCTAATTTATAAATATTTATGTTAACTGCGATGCTGAATTAAGATGAATTCTATTCATTCCATCCACCTTCTAATACTTAAAATTAGCTATTATTAATGATTAAACAATAAGAATGAAATTATTTAGTTCGTCCTAAATTTGTCTATGTTTTTGAGCAGGAATAAAGGTGATTTATATTCAAGTAATGAAGATGATAAATTTTATACAACGAAGCACTATAATATGCAAAAGAATGCGAAATTTAGTTTTTGAAGCCTTTGCTCAGCCATAATATAATGCGGAAGAAATATGAATTAAAATGAGATAAATAATATTATAAAAATCAATCAGAATAAAGGAATTAAATTAGGTAGTAAAGAATACATTTATTTTTATTTAGATTAATAAATTATTAATATACAATAACATCAATATTCATTAAGAGCTTAAGAAGAAAGGAGAAATTTAATAAATATTGTTAAAGATGAAATTATCAGTTGTAACTTTTTAATTTAAATAATCTATTTAAAGAAAACTTTTTGATGAAGAAAACAGTATTTTATATTATATATTATAATTAATTATAATAAGTTTATAATTATGAATAAAGATGAAAAGGGTTTCAAACAAGAAAAAATTTAAATATCTGAATCTCAAGTTGCTCCTTTGGACATAATTTAAATAATTTAATAAAAATATGCCAGAAAAGCAAATTAGTGTAAAGATAGTAAAAATAAATACAATATTAGAGATTATCATTCATGAAATTGCTGAGTCATCTAAAATTATCGATTCTACATTATAAAAATAAGATAGTTAATAATAGCTTGTCTATAAAAAAGACATATATGCAAGAGGTTAATTGATATATTGAAATTTATTTAGATTCATTTAAGAGTGTAGGTTGCATATGTAGAATATGTGAATTTTCAGAAGACAAAAACAATCCTTTAATTCGTGTATGTAAGTGTATTCGATCATAAAAATATGTTCATGAATATTGTTTGAAAAAATAAATTATGTTAAAATATAGAAATAAACTTCATTAAGCAAAATGTGAAATCTGTTCTGATACTTTTTAAATGGAGCTCAAAATTGAAAAAACATTTGCACCTGTAATTTTATTTTTTCATTTGTAGAAAACAGCATGGGCTCAAAGTAAGGATAAGTTACCATTATTTTGTTTATTGGTCTTTTTGATTGTTATGATAGTAGTTGTAATCTTACTTGGAATTCGATTGTAAGAACTTTATATCTTAATTTAGATAAATGGCTAATTAAGTTACTGATAGGAAAAATTTTCTAGATTCTCAATCTTTCTTAATAATATTTGTTATCTTTGCAATGATTATTATTCTTATACTATTGTGGTTAATTGCAATGATTGTTAAAGGGTTATTAATAGTAGAAAAAATTTTATTTTGGAAATTGTTAGAATTCAAACCAGTGAAGAAATCTATACTAAATAAAAATATATTAATTTCTGAACTAAGATAATCATTTCGAAAATCTAAACTTTTCGGTGAAGAAGAAATTATGCAAAATAGAGTAAATAAACATCAAAGCACTATTAATCTATAAAAAAATAATCATAACTAAGAAAATCAATTTATTGATGTTTGTGAAATATCTACATAAAGAAATTAATAAAAATAAGTTACTAATAATGTACTTAGTATTTAAACTGATCCTCGATAAACTAAAAGATCAAGATTTTCGATTATTTGATAATTTATATTATCTTAATCTATTTTATTTTAATTATGTAGAATGGATATTGTTATTTATTTAAGTCTTTATATTTAAAAAATTATAATATAATTAAACAGATTTAGTTTTACTAAAATTAATAAATAAGAAAATTTAAAGAAATTAGGTATCAACTAATGAATCAGATTGTATAAATTATTAATTATTTATTACACATTAAAAATATAGAATAATTGAGATAAAATTTAAGAGTATCTTTATTTAATTAAACATGGGAATAACAATTCTGCAGTTGTTGTAAAAAGGTGGAATATTAGAGAAGAAATGCATACTTTAGAATTATTTTAATAAATATTTTTTAGATGAGGAAAATGAAATTCAAGCATTACACCATATAATAGCAGAGATAAATCAGAGGGAGTTTAGAGATTTGGATCAAAAATATCTTGACACCCTGTAGATCATTAGTTTGAATTAGAAACCGATTCACAATTTCTAATTTAATTGATAATCCAAAGTTAACTAAGTTATTAATCTCACCTATTGAAAAAACTCATCATAATCCTATTACTTATTTTCAATTTTAATTTAATAAGACTAGTAATCGTGTATTACCTTAAATAAAAGAAAATTAAATTTAGGTCCAAATAAATCATTAAATGCAACAATAGGATCAAACCTCTAATTATCCTATTATTAATTCTACAATATGGAAATATAATATCAGAAAAGTTTTAACAAAATATTAAATTAGTGCAGAGATATATTCTTTTAT